TACAAATGATTAAATCGTATTTATTTATATAATTAGGGAGTTTATTAACAAATTACTATTATCTAAAATGTTATAGCTCTTAGTTGTAACATATGTAATCGTGAAGTGAATTTAGATGAATTAAATACAATTAATTAGACAATTATACCTACCCTATCTTAAATCTCTGTGCAAACCCCTGAAGATGATATTTTATTAAATATATGGAGCTAAAGCACTGAGATAAGGTAATTTTTATATAAGAGACTACTGAAGCTAGTCGTTTAAAATAATTTTTGAGGAGAGTAGAGGTCCACGTAGAGGCCACATGCCTAATTTCATTTAAAATGTTAACTCAAGCTAAATCTTTAAATTTCTTGAATCATTCGAAGTTGGTCAAATCTGAACACTTTCACCAATGTTGACATATAACTTCTAGATATCCTAAGACGTATTTAATAGTGCTGATAAAACACACTCTAAAATCTAAATGATTTGTCTCCTCCTGATTTTCGTTTCTTCTTTGTCTACTCTATTACTTAATGTGATGTAAATATGTAGTAACGTTCTCTCTATGAGAGTCAATACAATATAAGGGTAAAGACTATTTTACAGTAGTATAGGTACAAACGGTATTAGGAGTAATATGTATGACCGCCTTGTCTTGAATATTATTCCTCCTGTACTCACTGTCATCCTAAACTACTCTAACCCTTTTAAGCGAATTTCAGCTTGAGAACAGGCCCAAACTAATTTTCTTCACAAGAAAGAAGATGTTTTTCCTAATTTTATTTCTTGTCAAGTCGTTTAAAAAAATATTGAACCATTATGATGCATTCAGCTTAGTCTATTTCTCAAAATAAATGACTTAAATCTTTATAATTAGTACTTTAGGATCGATCTTAAGGGACAACTGGCCTAGTTTTCATGTGTTTTATGATTCTCTCAAAAATCATGGTAAAAATCTGGAAAACATGTTTTGTGAGTATTCAATTTACGCAAAATCTTTATATTTTTGAACTCATTAAGGCAACTTTTACATTTTCACCTACCTAATCTAATTCTCATTAAAATTATATTTCCAAATCTTTCTTCTTTCTTTCTATAATTAATTATGCTGTCGCAAACTACATTTGTTTGTCAGAGAATAAAATGAAAAACTTTAGCGTCTCCAAAACATTATCATAAGCTCCAGTAACTCTTCATACGTCACCACTTCGATTTACAAGTCCTTCCGCATCTGTACTGTGTTGCTTGACCCCAAGTCATCCTTTTATTTAAATAAAAGTAGAAAGTTTTCCTCAGGACACAAAAGATTCGCAATTAATAACTTTATCTTTTCCTGTCAATATAAGGAAATTTAATAAACAGTCCTTCACAATTCAAATTGTTTCATTGTGGATCTCTCTCCCTCTCTGTATGGCATTAGAAATCGTAGAGACTTTTAAGAAATTCATGTAAATTGATTTATTATAAAAAACTATGTAATATAGAAGATTAAATGTCATTTAACCCTATTAGATTGTTGTTTTAGTTTCTACTATTTATGAAGACTGTTTATGAAAATACTGTTTATGGAAATTTCCTTATAGTGACAGGAAAAGATAAAGTTATTAATTGTTTAATTAGTATATATAATATGTATTGAATATTTCTTGTATGTCAATTTTTTATAATTTTTGTTTTAGTATCTAGTTGTTTATCACAATAATATTAATCTCTTTTAATAAATCGTTTCTTTTTCTTTGTTATATTTATTTATTAAGAATAATGTACATAAAATATTTTTCTTAAAAAATATCAGTCCTTTCATAAATATGACAGAATGTCATAAATATAAATTAAACTTTATAAGAATGAAAAATGAAGCAAGAACTCATTATGAACTGGTTGACCTGCCTTTGTTAGCTCTTTGGATTTAATAATCTAAGCTGCTGCTTGACACGATGTAGACACATGCTGTTCTCGACTTTAGACTATTAAAAAATATTATGAACTTTTTTACATTAGAAGCAAAGAATGTCTAGCTAATACATTATATAGTTCACAATTGTTAAGGAAACAAAAACAAAGAAATATATTAACTTAGCATTTGACGTCATTAATGAGGTAATAATTTCAACTGCCATACTATAGGGGTATTCTTATATACAAGTTTACGTAAGCTCAGATTACTTCCAGTAAACTTGTGAAAAATAGGTGTCCGTAACACTTAAATAAAAGAGAACTTCTCTTATATTGTTCTTTTCGTTAAAAAGAGTTATATTTTATTTGTATAAGTTTTTAACACAATCTTATGCATTTTATTATCTCTCAATCAGAAAGTTTTGATATTATAATGATCTAAAATCTTATACATACAAATATATATTTACACAAAAAATATCCCATTGGATTTAACAATACATTTATGAAGAGTCAAAACTTTAACACATTTATAAAACGATAGTGATTATTGTAGAATACTTTGCTGTTATGTCCTATTTTTGAAAATGGCTTTATAATTGTAATATTTTACATTGATATAACTGAAGAATTGGTACAAATTTATCTGGTTGAAAATGTCTATTTATGTTTCAACGATATATTTTTTTAAGAAGGTTTAAAAGCATTTATTAAAATACATAAATTATAAAACATAAATTCATTAATTTTCGAAGTTACAAGTAACAAATTCAACCATTTTTATTGGTCTTTTCTATATATACAGGATATAATATTAAATATTAATAATTTATGTATAACTTATCGACCAAAAGAATACCTACTAGTAAATAGTATGAGTATTAAAGATCAGAATTATGATTAGTAATCGACTAAATCCCTACTAATATTATAAATGAGAAAGTAACTCTGTCTGTCTATAACGCTTTCACTCCTAAGCCACTGAACTGTTTATAGTGAAATTTGTTACAGAGATACATTTGAATTTGAGAAAGAACATAGGATTGTTTTTATCCCAGACTTTTGCAAAGTTCTCTTGGAAATGCGATATAACCGAAATAGATGCGGGCGAAGCCGCGGGCGGAAAGCTAGTTTTATATAAAAACTTTTAGATGATTTTTTTTTACTTTTTATTTTTGAGAATTCCTTGGTTACATTTATAAAATATGTAACCTACTGTAAGTCGTTTTTGCCTTATAATTTGGAAAGTTATATAAGCACCCTTTAATTTATAATTGTTGAAATAACTCTCATAAATTCAAAAATAAAATTTATGTTTTATTAAATGACATATGTACCATGTATAATGTTTTTTTTTTTTAATAAAAAGACGTGACTGGTAATCGCAGTAAAAAATATGAAATCTTCCAGATCAATCTAGGAACCAGAAAAGTTCTCATAGAATAGAAAATTATTCATGCGTTTGATATACTTTAGATATTTTGTTTGGATAAAGTTGCATTTGGAATACAAATCTGTTAGTTTAGCTATAAAAAATAATATGCTATATTCAGTTAGAAACGAATTTTCTCCAAAGGTGGTCTTATCGAGCTTCAGTTACCCAATAATACCTATTAAGGGCCAAGTTAATTTTACAATTATTAAAAAAAATAGTACTAAAATATGTACACTATATATGAAAGGCAGAAAAATATCAAAATAATATATTATACTAGAAGACCTGGCGAACTTCGTATCGCCCTATAATCAAGAAATATCTATTACTTTTTTCTTTATATTTTTGGAGTTTACCTGTAAGCCATAAATCTCCGTGTTTTGAAGTGCGACATAATGATTGACATATTAGTTAGTTGTCAAATCTAATGTCAAAAAAAAACGTTTGTATGGGAAATAGAAAAGTGCTGTTTTTATGGTTTTCCCAGCAATAAATCAATTTTTTTCAGCTTTTATACCTTCCCTGAAGCTCCACGAACATTTCAAGACTAAGATAAGATAAATCTGTTCAGCTGTTCTCGAGTTTTAGCGAGACTAAGGAACAGCAATCCATTTTTATATATATAGAAGATTGTAAGCGTATATATATGTAGGCTGTAGCAAATGTAAAAATGGCATTTTAGTGCCAGAGGGATCTACATGCAAATGTTGAAACAAAACAACAATTTTTATATAATATCATCATCATTATCAGCCTATCCAATTCCATTACTGAGCAAAGGCCTCTTTTCTCACACGTAGAAGGTTTGAGCATCAAACACCACGTCTGGTCAAGACGGGTTGGTGATTTCAAACTTATCATTTGAAATTATAAGTCCAAGAATATACATAGATAAATTATTTTAAATATACTGTTTGAATTTATTTCAATATCGTGTTTTTTTTTACATAAAGAAAAGTTAAACTTTACATTGTAAAATTATCATGGTTCTGTTTATCTTTAACAGGGATTTCGTCTAACTGAAAATATTTTACCATCGACACAAATTACCTCCGTGATTTAATGCTGTACAATGTTTGAATACTTATTAAAATACTTAATATCACAACAGGAAAATAATTTAATTTACCGATCAATAAAAGTAAGAAATGTCGTATAGTCAATTTAATTGATAGTTGAATGTAGATCACAAAATGCAGATATAATAACGAATATTTGTCACACACATTCGAGAAAGCGGTCAAGTATTTGAAACCACACAAATTATTCCGCAATTTGCACACTGCACTACACATACGTGAAGAAATTTCAGTAGAATGAAATTAAATTCCATTAAGACTTGAAACCTCGATAGAAAACTGAGTCTCAACTTTAATTAGAAAGGCCGTCAAAAACTTTTTTGCATTTTAAGTATGATTGTCTTGTTTGAATCTGAATTACTGGGTGAAAAATAAAAGCATAGATTCCTAAAATTGTGTTTTTTTATTTAGTAAATTAAATACGCCTTTACATGTAGTTTAATGCTGGTAAATCAAGATTTTGTTGTGAGGAATATATAAATCACATAAAGAAATAATGTATGAATTATATCAAAAAATTATCTTTAAAAAAATACAATTTTTAAGTAAACATAAAAAGTCAAGCTTCTCTTAGTAACTAAGGTATAGTGAAATACCAAAAATTAAGAACTATCCCCTTTTGGAACGGATTCATCATTTTTTTTCTCCTCAATAGTCAAGGTTAAATCTCTTTTTTCATCAACACGAGTAATGGGCCCATTGATTAAACATTCAATATACGACGGAGGCTGATCTTTCGTCCTTTGGGCATTTTCGATACGTAATTGTGCAATGTATTTATTTATTACAATCAAAAATAGAGCCCCGATGCCTGCAAAAAAATAATCAATATATTTTCCACATTAAAAATGTTATGTATTTGTAACATAATTGAAAAATCGCTTTGTTACTTCGTAAGCAATCTAAAAACTCATTTATGAACTTACAAATATCCATGAACTTAAGGAACCAATAGCTCTCAGTAGTGAAAATACTGTATAAGTCAGGTTGGTACGCGAGATAAAGGATTTCAAAAATTAGCTTGACCAAAGATAGGCCAAAGAAAGTGCGCATGCGTTCCGGATCTTTCTGAAAACAAAAAGTTTAAATTTAAATACACAAACATTTTCATCAGACATTAGAAGTAAAAATAAAAAGTTTTAACAAATTAGTGTTTTCTTAATACTTCTTAAGTGTTTTAAGATAAAACCGGTTTCTAAATAATAATCTCCCATCTCATCGGTAAGAGTGTGAACGTGTATGATAAATATTAATTAGTTAATCTTAATTCTGATAAAGAAGAAGACCAGAAGACCTTAAAAGAACAGCTTAAAAAGAAATCTATACCAATAGATCTAAGCTCGTTTTATACAAACTTCTTTGGTATTATACAGGGTGACTGGTGAATTACTATCAATATTTAAGGAGCATACTCGGTACATGATTCTCATTCGAATTATGTAAAAAAAATAGGTACTTAATTTTTGACAAAATTTCCGTATATATAAATAAAGTGTTGACACGTTCCAAGTGTTCCAAGTGTGGACGCGTGCGGCGGCGTGCTGATACAACACAACGCCGCCGCACTCGTATGTGTGAGTGTGGGTGTATACCTAATCTGTAGGGTGTTTACACGATGCGTAATTAATTACATAACTTTTGGTTAACTTTACTTAGAGGTTTATTAATTTTTATTTTGTCATATATGATCGTCACAAATCACGTCTTCAAATATCGATAGTAATTCACCAGTCACCCTGTATAATACCAGCCCACCTAAAGGGCTTTTGAGACGTAGTTATTTTTTTACCTTATGTACAGAAGCTACATAAGATGTTACGAACTTCAGCCAAATGAAATTGATCAAAAAGTTGAGAACATCTATCCTATTGATGTGAACCATCCCAGGATAGCATCTCGGCGTCGCTGGTATCATGAAATCACTTTTGTAGATACGCATAATGAACGGGAAGGGGTAAAGTCCATGGGTGCCCACGTTAATGATAAGGAGAAATGGCTCCAACCACGGGACATCTATCAAGTTAAGCTGAAAATAATAAATATATTAATTGAGTTCATTGTTAAATTCTATTCAATTAATATTATATATTTGCTATTATTTTACTCTGTAGTAATACTATTCAAATAATAATAAATTAAAGATGTTTTGTTATAATTATTATGAAAATAAACTTATCTTAAGATTAGCAAAACTTATAAATAGCTAGCAAATATTAATACATACACTTTCTTTGTCAACATCACATTGAAAGCCTTTAGTGACTAAAGACACAATGAAGAGGTGTGCTCCAATATCTACGATGCTCACAAACTGAAAACAAAAAGTTTATCGTATTACTATCGTTGTTTTTGTTATAAGTATCCTGACACATTAAAATATGTTTTTCATATAAAGCTAAACATTTATTTTCTAATCTATAATAAAAATAATAGATATCTGCTGATTCATAAAAAAATAAAAATGTGGCATGCGACGAGGAATAAAACTAATATTCATTGCAGAAAGTAACATTATATATATATATATATATATATATATATATATATATATATATATATATATATATATATATATATATATATATATATATATATAACTGTGTTTTATATATAATGTTCGTATAATTCAGTTTTTATTTCAAAAATTACACCTTTATAAAAATAGTAAGGCATTCAAAATTTTGAAACACAGCGAAAGTGTATGACAAGCTATGGTCTCAATATGGTGATTATTTATATTTTATCGATTTCGTAAATGACTTTCAATTTTTATTGATTTCTATCATCTAGTTATATAAAAGGATTCAGGTGCCATGATTATCTTTTTCGACTAATGTCTAAGTTAACTTTACTATTTACAATAGTTTTTTGAATATCATTACACCTAAAATATTGATTATTAACAAATCTTTACAAAAAACTTTATATTAATAAATTTAATACTCAAACTGTATCTTCTTAAATCTTTACAAAAATCCAGACAGGCGTACGAAACTTATGTATCTAAAAACATCGCTATAAACTAATTAGTATAAAATAGACCAAATTCGTGTTTATTATGAAATAAAGTGTTTTAATTTGTCTAGATTTCGTATCCGTTAGTATCAAAGGAAGTATGTAATTTAACACGATTATTTGCAACTATATAAAAGTAATACTTTGCACGCGGTCTTACTTTGTTTATACTATTAATAAAAACGTAACTTTATATTTATCAAATATAAAATTATAATCCTTATCTTAATATGTAATCTGTAATATAAGGCTAAATTCAGGTTCTATACAAATTTTATTACTTAATTGCGGAGATGACATTAACAAAATTAATAATTTAAAACGTAGTTGAGAATATTAAAACTAATATATATATGAGTTTTTTTATAATATAATATTAGGCTAACCAAAATATGACTCATTGTTTCAAACATTAAATTAAAAAAATCAACAAATGCGTTATTTTTAATCACCAAAGTTAGTAGTAATATTCTCGCTATACTGAACTACAGTCACAATAATTACGTTAATAAAAATCTGCTCAATGATTGAGTGGGTAGTGTTTTGATACAAATCTGACACTTGAACGAAGATCAAATCTCCTTATTTACTAAATATCTCTTGTTTCGGTGGCCATAACATGCATAGTGACAGTTTATGTTTAGTGTTATCCGAACAACAACTTTAAAGGGTAAGTAATTTCATTCAATTAGTATCTCACGTAGTGCCATCGGAGGTAGAAACTAATGGGACCAAGTAACTTTACTTGTAAATTGGTTGTTAGAAGACAATTAATAAAGGCATCATGTTCATGTGATATCAATTTACTTTGTCAGTGTTCTGTACTTCGACGCTAACAAAAATAGAGCGAAGTTTGTTTTCAAATTACCTTACATAGAAAACGGAAACTGCAACACTTAGTTTTGGTGTCACATTTTTGTTAAGACCTTTTGTATAACAGCGAAATTGTCTTTCGATTATTAAATTTATAATATGTACAAAGGCAAAAAGAGAAAATGCATTTCAGTAGGTACATGAAGCTATAAATGCTGTTACCATTTTCTTTTAAAATGAGGTGCTGTTTCGCTTGAGAAACCCCAGATAGCAAAAACCCAGCTTATTTCAATTCCTACCTGGATTATATCAGTAAGCTAGTGCTAGAGCAATCTAGACTTTGTTACATTTTTATTTATATGGGTTCTAATCTATAACTAATTATTAAAATGATTGCGTACATACGTATAACAGCTATCCAAGTGATTTTATTTCGGTCTCGAATAAAAATAGAATATATACTTATAAATTATTATATATTAGTTGGCACTACTGTTTGGAGTGACTTGGATTGAACCTTTTTATAAAGACTCCTTTCTAAGAAAAAATATTTGACTAAATTCCTTATCTTTATTTCCATAAAAACTTTCTTTATTAAAAAAAACGGGGTTTAACTAAGTAATAAATAATAAAAGTGGAAGTCTAGTTGCATTTATTGACTATTTTAATTAGTTATAGCAGTTTATACTCGTAGTTGTCAATATGTCGTGACACAATATACATAAATGCTCTACCATTACTACAGTAACAATTGTATCATATGTACTTATATTCTTAACTTTTTACAATTCAAGTGAAACATGTCATAGAATTTCCAGAAAATTTATCTTTGAACATATTTTTGATATATAATATAGCTTTTGAATACGCTGTACTTTGTAAACTAGGTTTATAAAAAAATACATACAAACAGGTGTTTTCTAAGAAAATTTCATCATATTTTGTTCATAGAATTTTTTCATTGGGAGTGAAATATTCATTATAAATGCATTTTTGATAGATTCGTATATCTTTGATTCAGAGAATCGTTAGTTCTACCAAATATTCAAAAATGTAGAACACAACTAAGTTAAAAGTGCTTCCATAGTAGAAATATTTTTCTTTTACCTGACTTAGAAACTAATATTTTGGATAAATAATGCGATTAATAAAAATAGCGATTTTTGTCTTTTGTGTTTGTCTCTGTTTTGTTTTGTTTATTTTTATTATTATTATTATTATCATTTGCTTTTACTAACATTAGTTATAAGGTTGACATGTATTACTAATATTTAAATATGGACAATGTCTGAGATAAAAATAAATTATTATAATGCTTACCAAATTTAAATAGCCAATAATAAAACACTTTGTGCGAAGGCTGAAACACCAATCCCAGGGCATTTTCATTTTGCCTGAAATATAAATAGTATATTATATATAGTAGATAAATTAACTTTATAATATTTACATAATAATAAAAATATATACCCAATAACCATAATCAATAGATAAAAATTAAGAATTTAAGTGTTTTTTTTTATATTTATTCACATAACACTGAAAAAAATTTAACTCCTTAAAATAAGTATTGAATAAGTTTTTAAGACATATTCAATTTAATAAAGTAGAGGTCATGAATAAATTTGTCTTATCAATTGCATTGAATATGTTTGACCGACTACTTGATTGAAGGGAATCATTAGTTATTTAAGATGACATTTTTATAGACTCTGTTTTCTATTCCACTCATTGCCACTAAATACAGATGTAAGATGTTATAAAAATATAAGGTTAATAGAATTATTTAATTAAATGTCAATGGTTAATTGACTACAAGCATATTTAAAATATCGAAACAAAAACTAACATAATGAAATAAAAAACAAGTTCCATTATGTTCCTTGTTTAAACAATTTATTTAGTCATATAAAAATTGCATATTAACAAGAAAAATCACTTAGCACGAAACAGTTTGCACTAAATAAAGAAATAATATTTTCCTCACGCTATATTAGCCAGTTGAAGAGCAATTAAATGGATATGTGTAAGTATATTGTAAAGAATAGACTTCAGGCAAATTAAACACAATATTATTTAAAATTCTTTCAATGACTCACCGAGATAATGTTGTCCCCGATTAAGCACAGAACTATCACAAACATAGACAAACAACAAAACTTAAACAGTTTGTTAGCTGCCGGTAAAAACCAATACTGATTACTGAGGCGAGCTCTATTCAAGTATTCAGTGTTCACTGCGCAGTTGCGCACGCGCATGAGACAATTCGTTGCATGTGTGAGTTTGTGTAGAGTAATTACGAACAGAGAATACTTTGTTTTATTGTCATGCTTCATGTAAATATTTGCAAAATGAAATATAAATTTTCCTCGATATATAAATTAAATTTACCCTTAGTAATATTTCACTAATTTTTATTCTACTGTTATTTAAATAAATAAATAATAATTTCTAAAGATTTAACAAAATACATAAAATTTATAAAAAGGTAATTCATTATAAATTTTTATTATAAGATTTTTGAGTTAATTATGTGTTACTACCGTATACTACTCTATACACGTGTATATAACCTTCTCAAATACTAAGAATAGGTATCAGATATGTGAGAAGTGAATGAGCGAGGATTGGTAGGTAAAATTACATTGCTCTTTTTGTTCATCAGGACTTTCAAGATTATGAAATAAACGGTGAATGTATTCAAAACTGTTCACAGACTGTATATGATCATTTTAAAATGTCACCGAGTGTTCGATTACAACGCCATCTAGTTCAGATACCACGAAACGATGGCTGTTAATGAAAGTGGGTAATCAAGTTTCATATGTCGATTTCGTTATGACTCATGTTGCATATTATGTTACTACTAAACATCTGAGCGCATAATTTATAATTTTTTTAACTAATTTTAAAATAACTTCGAAAGAAAGCTATTACAAATTTAAAAAACTTTTTCCTTGAATTTAGCATCGAAGCCATTTATTAATAAATTATATTACGAGTATGTACCTAAAAGTAAATATTTCTTTTTAAGAAATCCTCTTTTATGTGGATGCTATTGTTTAAGACATTCTTATATAATGTACAAATGTAGACAAAGTGTTATAATGTAGAAATTAATTTTAAAAGTAACTTTATTTACTTTACACTTTAATAAATAATTTATTAAGAACTAGAATACAAAATCTATTCTTTTTACTATTTTCTAAATATTATCTTCGTATTAATTAATAAAAAGAAATTAGTTCTGTTATTGAAATATTTATACACGATTGTCGTGGACAAAGAATAGAATAAATTAAATTCAAGGACAAGAAGATTCATTTCATTACATGATGTTTGCTTTTATGTGTAAAATACATAGTTTCCAAGTTTGCTTTATACTAAAACAGACTTCGCCATTTTTAAGCCAATGAATCCTTTGGTAAAAATATTTCTTCCTTTTAATATAAATGTGAATTATTTATTACTTTTTGATCCTGGGGCCTTGTAGGCGGTTCCACAAAAAAGACAATCCCCAAAGGATATCCATAAAAAATGTAGTTATTCTTTGTACAGAATACAGTATATTTAAAGTATTTATTTTCATAATGGACACTAATTTTAGACTTAAAAAAAATATGTAAAGATAATTCATAAAAATATAATTGAGTCTGATTAAAACTAGGGTAATTTGTTTTTGTAAATATCAGCACTTTAAACTAGTTTTATTTAACCTGACTTACCTTAATAATTTATAACATAAGACTTCATCACATGACTAATGATCTACGTTCGATTATTAATGCATAGGAAAGCAAGAAATAGGTCACATATTGTATTTTCATACATTTACATGTTAACTCTATGAACCGATAACTGTCAAGGTGTTAACCATAGTTTAAAATAAGAATTTACGCCCTCTTATACACGTACTGTGATAGTACTTTCTGTATTAAAGTATTTTTTTTAGAGACAACACTGGGAGCAAATAGTAGTATACGATAAAAATCGAACAGAACTAAAATAGTAACTCCTTTTCAATCGATATTTGTGCCAGGTGCGGTATCCGATGCATTAAATATTATAGAACTAGACCTCCTCCTGAATATTATATGACAGAGCGAATGTACCAAGTGTTGTAGGCAGCTGTCAGTTTTAATATGAAGTTGTTATGTTTATTGTTAATAATATTTTTATTAAAAAGTAATTAATTCTTATTATATGTATGCATTTGTATTTCATATTATTTTTACGTAAGAGAAAATAATATATAATAGGGACAGGTATTTGTTTTAGTAGGTAGTTTCAAACTAAACTCATTTTATACAACTAAGTAATGATGTTTCAATACTTATTAGAATAATTCCAATATTCCAATAGACGCAAATGTGATTCCATAAAATATAATGTAAATTTTAATGACTGATTTATATGATTATTAAGTTTACTTTTAACACTGTATTCAAAATGTTATGTGCTAAAATAACGAGCTAACCATAATTGTATCCATCAGTTTGCTATATCGATGCCTGAAATATATAGATGGCAAAATTTAGTTTTGTGTGATTTTGCTAAATTTATTCTGCAGGCTATGTAAATAAGTTGTTTGCCATTATAAAAAGTAAAGTCTCATATTTTTCACCCTGTGTTATGCTAAGATGAATTTGTAAATGTGGATGAAGGGTAATATATTTTATAATTATTTGTTCAAATTGTATGCTACGTACCTCTTAAGATTTAAGTATGATCTATCATAGTACTTGATGACGTCTTGTACTCATAATAATTACTTTATTGGTTAAACTCAGCTAATTACTCGTAAAGGTTTTGTGGGAGCACTAGAACAGTCACGTGATTAATTCCTGCCGGACGATCGTGGATGGCATATAAAGGGAATTAGCTCCAGGCTTGGTTTAATTTCTGCTGTAAGCTAGGCTACTCTCTGAAATTAGGTCCAGTGCGATGAGTACCTCGGCAGTACGAAAGAGAATATTAATGTGTTACCAGTTATGTACTGCTTGATTATTCTGCTGTCAATAGCTGATCGAGTTTATAGTTATGAATAGATCGTAGTTTTGAATTGTTATATATTATTGATTTTATCAATATTTAGCATTCACTCAAGCTTAGTTTGGGCTGCTTTATGTTTGGTCAATTTAATATCCAATTTACAAACTAATATATCAAATTCACCATCATATTTCATTGAAACCCGCTGAGTGTTAGATAGTAATACCCACAATAATTTACAATTTCATGAACTTTATATTAAGTCGGAACTTTTCCTCAAACTGCTTTTACCCGAACTATATGCGTGACCTTATTATTTTTTTGGCAAAAAAGTTAAAAGCAAAAACTATGAAAATATGTTATTGGATGTACTAATAAATGATATATCAAATTTGCCTGATCAAGGAAATACAAACAGAAAAATTACTTTATGACAAATTTTGCTAAAAATTTGTGTTTCTTGTATCTATACATTCACTTTAAACTATTGTTCTTGGTTCTTTTACAGTATTTTTTTTTAAATACATGATTTCAAAAACAAACAAATTTCATAACCAATGAAAGAATTACGTTTTATTAAATGCTTAGTATTTCAATATTTTTCATTAGAAATTATGCAAGCATATTCTCGAATGTGCATATAAAATGAAGCCATTTATATAATTGTTTTAAAACAATTACATCTTTCATACAATTACCGCTGCACGAAACTATGTACATTGTAACATTTCTTTTCATTGTATGTTATGTTTACTATTTATAATAATAACATTTGATAACATTCGTATAAATTCAGACACATAAGTTTGAATTTATTTATCAAATTAAATACTTAAACAATATAAGAAATAAAAATTATAAAATCTTAAGATTGAGATCAAATCCTTTTTCTGAGAAAAGGAAATTTTGTTTCACAAAATATGTGAGTTATGGGTCAGAGAACATGTGAATGGCAATTCTAGGAGTTTCAAATCCTTGATGTCAATACCTGCCGATAAGCCTCTAGGAATGATGCTTTAGATGTTGGAGCATACCGCTCTGAATATCACAAATTTTTAAGGCAAGTCAATTTATACATATAAAAGTTCTTCCAAAAATGTAAGCTTTATACTCCGTCAGTATTTAAAAAATATTATTTTATTACATATTACTACTTTGCCTTCTATTAAATATTCCCAGTGAGAACATATGACTGACTGTTCTTCAGAATTATGTTGAAAAAAAGGTCAGAGTCTTATTGTTGATTTAAAGAATGTATCCCTAGGTTATTGGGAAACAAAATTTACCAGTGACTATACGGGTCTCAAAACAATTTGTCGACTGGGGATTCTCCAACCTACCACCTATAGAGCCGAAAAAAACTGAGGGTGAATTCCATAAGTTCAAGGACACTTAGATACCTAGAGAAATAGAGTATATTTCAAGGAACTAAAGTCTCCAACATAACACGCTGAAGTGGAAGTGGAATAGAGCTGTCTCCAAACTCTAAGACTGTCCATTGAATCAAGACATGTTAGAATAGAAACCGCGTTTAGGTAAATGTAGTGTACGATACCCTGGAGAAAGATGAATCTAAAATTTGACCAATGTTATTGGTAACGACTGTAGGCAGGTTGCCCAGAACTAGAACATTTTATCACGTTAGAAGAAGCCTTTCTTACATATATTTATAGATTGATTTGAATAAACGAATAAATTAAATTTTATCATAATTTAAAATTTACATAAAAAATTTTTGCGATTTTGCTAAACCCTTATAAACTACATTTAAATCGTCAAAGCATTTTCCGAAGCAGTGAAATTATGTCAGTTTTATTAAACGATATTATTTCGCTTTCTTTGTGTATACAACGGCAAACAGGCTCTCTACTGCACTCAAGGCATAAGAAGATTAAATCACAGCAGAATATCTTAAAGGAGTAAAATTACATATTATCCTTACTTATATTATGAATGTAGCAACTTTCAACTTCTCCGTTATAAATTTCTTTACGTCTTTTATAATTAATAAAAATATTTTTAACTTTAATATATTTTAAAATTTATTAATTTAACGATAGCAAGTAATGGAATAAATATAATTTGTAAATATAATTAATTGTGTTTCCAGAAATTTAAACATGAAATTATTGTCTACCAAAATATCGTATACTACATAAAGAACGGATGCATTACAAAATGGCAATTAAACTTGAAATTCGACTTGGCTGTTTATAATACATATTTATAAAATGCGTGTTAAATTTCTTTTAGGTAGTTTCAACTT